TATAGTGTTTTGGAAAGCTCTCGAGGTCAGCTACAAGAATATGTAATAAAAAATAGGGGATGCCATTTAAAAAAAATTGAGGTGACTTTTACGTGACTTTCAAATTCTTCAAGGTCAAACCAATGGTACCATCTTATGGTCCCTTTGAAACCAAACAACTTTTGTCTAAAAAATTTTTCTCTCCCGGGCTTGATTTTCGAGATATTCGACTGGATGGATTAAAATGGTCCACCCTGTATATACACACATACACACACACATACATATCATGTATATCATATATGTATATATTATATGTATACCATATATATTCGTATAATTTTAATGTATACATATATATATTATATAATTGTATAAAATCATTGGAATATATTTTGATGTGAGGATTATCTTTCGAGATCACTCTGACAGACCTTCCGTATGCAATATGTAAACAGGCACTCACACATATATGCTAATTAATATGGCTAAGTAAGTACAGTCATGGCCGCTTCTTAAAATATATGTATATATATATCGACGATCGTTCAAGTCTTTATTGCGCGTTGGACACTTAAGCTTAGGCGTAAGCTAAATTACTTTGTACGTTGTTCTCGTTCGTGGCACCGGACTTCTGCCTCGTCAGACGGACGTTTCCGCATTAGTATCCTTCCTGCAACAGTGATCACAATTCGCGATCAGTTCGCGGCCGCCTGTAGTTGAGCGATATCGAGACAGAGAGAAAAATTGACTACAGAGACAATCCGTTGCGGTTTGCAAGGCGATTTTGTATCGACTTATGTATATCGTCAAAGCTCTCTCGCTTACCTCCTCGCTGATGATTTGACATTCGAGTCGTCAGGGCAAGCACGGATCACAGAAAAGATACAGTTATGTTAGAACGTTCCAACGCCACCTTTTTTTATACAGCATACAGCAAGGGAGAAACACGGAAAAACCAAAGAAAACCAGAGATGAATTAAAAGGGGTTGTTATGAAGTGTTGCGCTAAAAATAAGAAATGCTGTAACTTATAAGTACGTTAGCTCGCGGCCGCCAACCCTTTTTTTTTTACGTACGTTGGATGTGACGTACTTGTATCGTCTTTTTGTAAATTCTTTTATATGTCTATGAACGCAACAACTTTTTGAATAATCTATATAAAGGTTTCTATTTTTATCCAAACGTGACTACGTGGTTTTATTTCTACACTCTGCGTTAATTTTGATTATAAACTTTTATCCTAACTCCTGATTTTAATTGTATATGTTATTGCAGCCACAAATCATTCTAAAAGTCACATTTACTAAAAGTCACTCCATTTTTAAGTACAATTTGCATCAATTCCATCGTACATAAAAGCTCATTCAAATCTCTACTTTGCGTCTATTTAAAAAGCTATCCGACACCCAATTAAGGGGGGGGGATTCTGCTTTACAAGATTAAAAAAAAGGTGATTTTTTTTTCAGCTAAAATGAAATGAATAATTTCAAAAGTTTAACAGTGTTTTACTGTATATTTGAGCAGTGAAAAACATTTTTCATTAATAAATAATGTGTTTTTTAATAAATAATAAACTGTCTTGGTAACGTTGCGCCGCTGGAGTTGTGTATGTACAATTTAAGAGATGTACGTGATTTCGTCTAAAATGAAAAAACAAATTTTTTCTTAATTCTTATAAAATTATCTTCTGTATAAATTAACATTATTACAAAAAAAATTAAATTAAACAATTTTTTTGCAAAAAAAGATCCAAATTTTTTAATGAAAATTTTAACTTTTTTTTTTGTCATAACTTATTCAATTTTTGAAATTTTTAAAGTTTTGTCAGTTCATACAGAAGATTATTTTGTAAAAATTAAGAAAAAATTTGATTTTTTTTGTTTCAGACAAAAATTACGCTTCCTAGATTGTACAGTCGTGGACACATCGGTTACGACACTTTTTTTTACAGGTTTTTAATATATATTTAATATACATATATACTTTATAGATAACTAATATTTTGCAAATGCAAACCACGATGTACTATCTTTAGTCTAGGGACA